GGCATGTGACAACACACTGGGTTCCTGGTCCACCGTCAGGGAAGAGGGGGCCAGCTAGAGACCCAAACTTCACCTGCCTGCAACTTACTTATGTAGTAATTCCTCACTGGCACCCCACAACTCTAAAATGTTAAAAAAGAAGTGAGTATACGAGGAGGGACGCCCCCCCCAAAAGTAATTACGTTTTGGAGGGCAGGCCCCTTGTAATGCAGACTTCCCTCACTAGGTGAGTGCTCTAGGAACCCATCAGCTTCAGTGTACCAGCAAGCGTTGTGGTGAGAGGTTGTGTTCCACCTCACTGAATTTTTTTTGGAGATTCTTTCAGCACATTTGCCCATTTCATGGTGGGTGATTTACATGCGCCCCTGACTACACTGCACTGAGTGTTCAGCAGTTGTTTTTTTGTTTGTGTGTTTTTTTTTTGAGTTGGAGTCTCACTCCGTTGCCCAGACTGGAGTGCAGCGGCCGCTCCCGGCCACCACAGCCTCGACCTGCTGGGCTCTGGCGATCCTTCCGCCTCAGCCTTCCAAGTAGCCGGAATTACAGGCGCGTGCTACCACGCCCGGCTGATTTTTTGATTTATTGTAGAGATGAGGTCTCGCTGCCCAGGCGGGTCTTGAACCTGCGGGCTCAGGCAATCCACTCACCTCAGCCTCCCAAGGCGCAGGATGACAGGCTGAGCCACCGAGCCCGGCTTGTTCAGCAGTTTTTGACCAAAAACGGCATGATCCCTGTGCCCTACCCTCTCTATTCACCCGATCTCACCCCAAGTGACTTTTTTCTGTTTTCCTGGATGAAAAAAGTCTTCAAAGGGAAACATTTTCCTAACGTGGAAGAGGTGAAAGAAAAAAAAAAGGCAAAAGCACTAAAAGGAATCAAAATTGGCAAGTCTAAAAACTGTTTTGAGCAGTGGAAAAAGTGTCTTGATAGGTGTCTTGCCTCAAACAAAGAATACTTTGAAGGCGACTGGAGTTTAAACACGTTAGAAGAAATACACAATTTTTTAATAAATAAAATCTAGGTTCTTGGGTCCCCTTTTGTAGAAACAAATTGTAGTAGCCAAAGGAATGAACTACTGATAACATAACACCACAGATGACTCTAAGATTACGCTGAAAGAATCCACACAAAAGAGCATATATACTGTTTGATTTCATTGTTACATAGCTTTTGCATTTGTTCTAAAAATTGCAGGATAATCTATAGTTTCCAAAAGCAGATACATGGTCGTGGGGGCGGGTGAGGCTGGGAGGCTTGGGAGGTGGCCACGAGGGGTGGGGTGGCAGGAAGAAGAGGCCCACTGTCTAACTGCAGTGTGGGCTTCCCTGGTGTACCGCGGACTAAGACTTAGCTGATTGTTCACTTTAAGTATGTCTATGTATTGCATGTTAAGTCACACTGTTAAAGTAAAGATAATGTTGTTTTTATATTATACATATAAAAGCAATCTGAAATATTACTTCGATTCATTCCTAGGCCTGGGTTTCCATGGATATCCACATTTTAAAGCAGGCAGCTAAACAAAACATTTGAACTTTCAAGGTAGACATAAAGTACTGTTTCTTAACAGAAATTGGATTTATATGAGAATAATGATTCAGTGGCTGCTAGCTTAATATATTCTGACGAAAGTTGCAGGAAAGATGAACGATACTTCAGCCTGGATTTTACTTCTTTCCTTCTCCTCCCCTTCCACCCGCTCTCCTCATCATTTAGCAAGGAAAATGGGTAGAGAATATGAATGTCTTAAATTAAAATGGCTCTATGTGGCTCACAAAGACAGCGTAGCCACAATGTCTTCACCCACATGCAAAACCATTGGTATCTCATAGAATCTTAGACTTGCAAAGGGAGAATTCATTTTACAGATTAAAAATCTCAGGCACAAATGAAGTGAAATGACTTTCCTAGGCCACACAGCTAGAATTTGGTCACACACACACACACACACACACACACACACACACACACACACACACCCCACAACTCACTTACTGTTTAATTCTACGAGAAAAAACAAAGACATAGGTCAGAATATCACTAACTGGTAGCCTCACCAAAAAGGGCCCAGACCTACTGACTGGCTTCCACAGTACCGTCTTCTGACAGTTCACCCGCGTTCCTGTCTGCTCTCAGAAACACAACTGGTATGAGGTTAAAAGAACCAAGAAAGGGGTTCTCAATCCTCACTGCATAAGAACAATAGCTGTGGAGCTTTAAAAAAGAAACTTGCCCCCTACACTCAAGAGTAGTTCTCATTGGTTTGGGGTAGGTCACTGGTTTTGGAACTACCCGGAGGGCTTATTAAACCAGATTGTTGGGCCCCTTCCTGGTGGTCTCTGATTTAGGGGTCTGGGGTGGTATCCAACAATTTGCATTTTCTAACAAGGGCCCAGGTGACATTGATACTGCTGGTCTGTGGACCACACTTTGAAAACCACCCAGGTAGGGCATCAGGTAGTTTTTTAAAGTTCTCCAGGATAATAATGTTCAGCCAGTTGAAAATCACTGGTCTAAAAATCACTCTCAATCTTTTCTGGCATCACTTGGGGAATTAAAAACACCATCACCATCTGATACCTGAGTCCCTACCCCAGATATTCCTTTTTAATTGATCTTGGGTGCATCCTGGGCTGTGGGGTTATTTAAAGTAGCATGTTACTTAGAAGAATCATGCCCAGATAATTCTGATGTCCAGCCAAGACCAAATGTCATGGAATGTTTTCTGCCTCAGTTCTTACTACCCTTTACCTTAAGTTTCCCCAAGAGAATTGGATACTTTACTACTATAACAAATTAGAAATTCCTTCCTAACTTGCTGTCTGTGAACAATGGCTACCCTCCACTTTGATGTTTATTTACTGAGCACTTGGGATGTGGTGGTGGTGAGTGCTTTACCTCCTTACCAGTTATATGGTTGTTTTGTTTTTGATTCCTGGATAGTTGTGCTTAAATCTTTTCTCAAAAAGAGACCTTGTATTTTTTTTTTAGAATTGACACTGTCTTCTAACTTGTGGTTAATATGTATCACATGGTATTCTGTTTCTTCTGGTTAGAAGCTCTAGACAAGGGGATGGAGGAGGGGCGAGGAAGAGGGAAAGAGAGGGAGAAACATACAGAAAAAATTTAAGCAATTCTTCTGTTCTACTCAAACACATTACACTTAGTAATAGAATCTCTGAATGTTGGTGAGGGTTCTCCAGAAATGGACAACAATACTCAGTATTTCCAAGAGGAAAATCCCAAGAATACCTATGACTTCCTCCTAAGGCAGCTGATTTTCCCTTTGCTATTGATTAATACATTTCTTCCATTTCCAACTTTTTTTTTTTTTAGTCAGAGTCTCACTCTGTTGCACAGGCTGGAGAGCAGTGGCATGCTCATGGTCACCGCAGCCTTGGCCTCTGTGCTCAGGCGATCCTTCCACCTCAGCCTTCCAAGTAGCTGGAACTACAGGTGTGTGCTACCATGCCCAGCTTATTTTTTGATTTATCATAGAGACGAGGTCTCACCCAAGTTGCCCAGATTGGTCTTGAACCCCTAAGCTCAGCCAATCCTCTCACCTCAGCCTCCCAAAGTGCTGGGATTACAGGCTTGAGTCACCGCACCTGGCCCATCTCCAACTTTTAAAAATACCACTGATTTTTAGTTGGAAAACACCATTTCCAACTTTAAAAAATACCCCAAACATATCACAATTCCATTAAGAACAGTGATTTGCATGGTTTCAGGCAAAGTGTTTTTAGATACATATATTTTTTATTTTAAAGATGTGGGGTACAATTCAGGGACTGGTACATAAGTGACTATTGTCCAGGTAAAGTTTGGTCCTCTGGCCCCCACTTCACCTGGTTTCAGATGGGGTACCCTTATTGATGATATGTGCCCCCCTCCCTGGCAGTGTCCCACTACTACAAATCCCTTTCTTATCGTAATATGATAAATGTTCAGGGTCCACTTATAAGTAAGTACATGTATTATGCCGATCTTTGTTTCTGTGATAGATCACTGAGTATTATAAACTCTAAGTCCATCCAAGTTGCTGCAAAGTTCACAATTTTGTCCTTTTTATGACTGTGTTATATTCCTTCATGTATATGTACCACTTTTTTTGTTTTTTGGGGTTTTTTGTTTTTTTTTTGAGTTGGAGTTTCACTCTGTCACCCAGACTGGAGTGCAGTGGCTGCTCCCAGCCACTGCAGCCTCGACCTGCTGGGCTCCGGCAATCCTTCCGCCTCTCCTTCCGCCTCAGCCTTCCATGTAGCTGGAATTACAGGCATGCGCTACCATGCCCGGTTAATTTTTTGATTTATTGTAGAGATGAGGTCTCACTGCCCAGGGGGGTCTCGAACCCACGGGCGCAGGCAATCCACTCACCTCAGCCTCCCAAAGGCGCGGGATTACAGGCTGAGCCACTGAGCCCGGCAATACCGCATTTTGTTTTTACCCAGTCCACTTCCTATGGGTAGCATGGCTGGTTTCATGATTTTGCTATTGTGAATAATGCTGTAATAAACATGCATGTGCAGGAACTATACCTGAGTTCCTTCAGGTATATTCCCAGGAGAGAGATTGCAGGATCAAATGGAAGGTTGATTTTTTGATCTTTTAGGAATCGCCACACTGTTTTCCATAGAAGTTGTAATGGTTTACACTCCCCACCAACAGTGTAGAAACATTCCCTTTTCCCCACATCCTCTCCAGTCTGTTGTTTTTTGTCATTATTGATAAGGGCCATCCTGTCTGGAATTAGGTGGTATCTCAGTGTGGTTCTGATTTGGATTTCTTTGATGATTAGTGAGGTTGAGCATTTTTTCATGCATCTGTTGGCTGCTCATATGTCTTCCTCTGAGAAGCATCTATTCATATCTTTTGCCCACTTTTTAATAGGGTTGTTTTTTTCCTTTCAGCACATTTGAGTTCCTTATAGATATTTTAAAGCCTGTATTTGCATATTTGAGCCAGCCAGAGCTTCCTCTGGGGCCCTGTAGTGCCCTTCCTGTGGGGCACTGTTGTGTGCTGTGTATAACCCTTCTCGTGCCTGAGGACTGCTTAGTTCCAGCAAGATGGCTTGTTTCAAGTATCATAGATTAAGAGCCATCAGGAGTGTGTCTTTAACTTTTAGATCTGTGGCTTTGCAAAGTATTTAATAAATGGTGCTTAATAAATGTCTGCTCAATGAATTAATGTATATACATGTGTGGATCAACTTCACATAAGCCCCTGCCCAGGGGGACTGGGGCCCAAGCAATTTCAAGGGCCAAGAAAGAGAGGCTATCACACTATCTTCCTTTGTAACAGAAAGAGCTCTTCAGTACTCTAGTTTCCTTCTTTCCAGTTTCTTACGGGTTTTGTCATGAATGCAATGTACGCTGCTGAGGCCTGCTGGCCTGTCTCCTCACCCAGCCATTTTCCTCCTTAAAAGGGCAAAGTAGCTATCCTGCTTCTACTATGAAGCACAATTAGTTATACCAAAACATGGCTAAGGGAGGCCTCAACTGATTGGAGGTACTCCATGCAGATGATTCGTGCCGCCAGAAAGAGAAACCCTGGGCAGTGTCTCCAGTCTGCTGAGCCCACACGGAAACGGACTCTGCTGGGAAGGTGGTGGTTGGTGAGACAGCTACAGTGAGGCTGGGATCTGTGTGCAAAGCATCCTCAGTCACAGCCTCCCCTGGTCACTTTACCCCTGCACTTTCCCCACCCTCAGATGAGGAGGAGACCCCGGGACCTCCAAAGACTCCCCATCTCTGACATGGGCGGCCTTTCCATACATTATGGCTTATATAGTCGTTATGTAAACACTTAGAGCCAAGCAGAGAATTCCACATGTTTGCTTTAAAGGGAAAGGAAGGAAAATTGATTTCAAACAATCGTGAAATACCAGGTTTTTGTTTTGTCTTGGTATTGAATATAACTATCCCTCTATATCAGCTGCTGCTTCTGGTTTCATATAGCATCAATTTTCGGAAGCAACAAAGACTTGTAGATATTATCCTTTAAAATGTTGTAGTAAGCCAATTTGGGTGACATTTTGGTTTTTAGGCACAAGACTCGAATAATCAAGTTACAAAGCCCAGTTTGTAAGGTTAATATATTTTTTTCAGGAACCTCTTTCACAAGACAGTTGTTGTGATATCACCAAATAGGATCTAAACAAAGTTGATCCGATCTATTTATCTGTCTTGGAGATTAACAAGCATCGCTATAAGTAGGTTGATACCAACTAACCATTTGAATTGCCATAATTGAAAAAGACTGGCTCAATTAGGGCCTTGTTCTTGGGCTACATGGGCTACATGGGCCCTTCCCATGTTTTATAAAAACCACTAGGAATTAGCTGTATGACACCTGAATGAGAACCAAGAATTCAGAAATTATAAAAACATACCATAAATCAAAATGAGTAACAAGCAACGAACTTTGTTCTGAGTTAAGCTATGGATATTTGGTTATAGAAGTTAAAAGAACATCACGCACTACAACTGCTAGTAATCATAAAGAGCATTTTAAAGATCCAGTTTTAATATGGAGAGATCATTTATCTATGCCTTATCCCCAAACAATAATATCCAAACACTGAAGCACACGGATCAGTTATCTAGCTACCTGCTAGTGACCAACAACAGAACTTTAGTGCTTTCAAGAGTCAGGTCATTTTTATCCTTATTTTCAACAGCCAGCCTAAGACTGAAGGAGCAATCTGCTGCTAGGGTCTGCCTGAATTCCAAGCACCTGCTTCCTCTGGTGTGAAAGCAGATGGCACATCGTAAAAATAAATGCTATGGAAAAACTGTACAGAAAGATATTCCCTTTAAAACCCTTTAGGAGATTCTTTTTCCTAAAATCTGACACTATAAATATACATGGTTTATGTTAATATTTTAGCTCAGAATTTTTCATGCAGGGACGGGGAAAAAAAGTTTCCTTGGCTTGATTCATATGCATGTGCTAACATATTGCCACATGATGGGAAAACAGCCTTTAGCTCATAAGCACCTAGGCCAGAGCATTTTATTTTTGGAATTCTAACAAGTTCCCCAAACAGCAGCAGCCACTATCCCTATCCCTCACTACTACCACTAACTACATACAGCTCTAGTAAGTTCTTTTATAATAAATATTAGGCATTGCTCAGCGGAATAACCTAATTTTTATTTGTAAGACATCTATATGAGGGAGGACTCCCCCCCAAAACCGGAGTTATCTTTTGGAGGGCAAGACCCTTGTAGTACAGGCATCCGCCCCACCCCATAAGTGTTCTAGGAACCCATCGGCATCAGCGTACCAGTTAGTATTGTTGAGAGGCTGCATCCAGCTTCAGTGAATTTTTTTTTTTTTGGTGATGCTTTCAATGTATTTGTCCATTTCGTGACGGGTGATTTACGAGTGCATCTGCCCACACTGTGCTGTGTGTTCAGGAGTTCTTGCCAAAAAAAGGGCATGACCATTTTGGTTTTTAGGCACAAGACTCCCCACCCTCCCTATCCACCTGATCTTGCCCCCAGCGACTTTTGTTTTGTTTTCCCAGATGAAAAAGTTCTCAAAGGGAAATGTTTTACCGATGTGGAAGAGATGAAACAAAAAGGGGCAGAAACACTAAAAGGCATTCAGATTGACGAGTTCAAAAACTATTTTGAGCAGTTGAAAAAGTGTCTTGATAGGTATAGTGCATCCAGCAGAGAGTACTTTGAAGTAAGTGAAGTTTAAACATGAACACATAATTTTTAATAAATAAATTCCGAGTTTTTTGGGGTCCCCCCTCCTAGATGACCATGCCATCATAAATTGGCCTCATGATAGCTTTTCCACAATAAGTATTTAAGGTAGTGTTTCTCAAACCTTAGATGCATCAGAATCCCCTGCAGAGCTTGTTAAAATACAGATTTGTTGGCCTTGCTCCCAGAGAGTCTGACATAGCAGGTCTGGGGTGGGACCCAAGAATCTGCATTTATTTTTTCATTTTTTTATTTTTTATTTTTTTGAGTTGGAGTCTCACTCTGTCACCCAGACTGGAGTGCAGCGGCCGCTCCCGGCCACCGCAGCCTCGACCTGCTGGGCTCCGGCAATCCTTCCGCCTCAGCCTTCCAAGGAGCTGGAACTACAGGCGCGCACTACCACGCCCGGCTAATTTTTTGATTTATTGTAGAGATGAGGTCTCGCCTGCTCAGGCGGGTCTCAGACCCGTGGGCTCAGGCAATCCACTCACCTCAGCCTCCCAAAGGCACAGAATCTGCATTTCTAACAAGCTCCTGGGTGAGGCTGATGCTGTTAGCCTGAAGACCACACTTTAAGAATCACTGGGGTTCCCTTTAGAGTGTTCACATTCTTTGGGCTTGTATTGGTTTCTCAGTTAATGCCCATTTTGTGCTGAATGCATTTGAGACGTGTCATTTGTTTATATTCAGATGTTGCAGTTACAAAGATGCTTAACAAGCAGATGGGCAGATCTGCAGAGGCAAGGTTGCTCATGCTGTGAGCACAGGGAGAGTCAGTGACTACAGTATGTTTGATCAGCTAATGTGTGACTTCCCAAGTCACCAGGGGTTTCTGTAACATACACAACCTGGTGCAATTCCAACAAAAGTGTCAACTAAAATCTGACAGAGAACCGTCTAATCCTTACTAGTTTTTATCTTAGAATTTACATCTAGCTCTTAAAGTTTCTGGATCCTACTATCTTAAAGCACACTCCAACAGTTTAAACTGATCAAAGTTCGACAGAAGATTGATATGAAGTAATTGAGCAATGCTTAGCATTTATGTTCGATTCATTTCTCCTATCCACACTCAGTTAAATTTTAAAGCATGGCTCTGTCACAAAACAGCATCGTAATATTAAGATTTACTTCAAGCACACTTTGGAATGTAAACATACCTTATTTAACTTTACAAAATAGTCCAGTCCAGCTTCCAAGGGATTTGTATCACAGTTCATCTAAAAAGGAAACACACATTTTTAGTCTCAGATGAGTGCAAGTCACTTCAGCAGCATCACTTTCATTTTTTTAGGAGAAAGAATACTTTTTGATTTTTGAACATAGATTCTGAAAAAGGCAAATTATACACTAGTCTCTAAAACCATTTTTAATTCAAAATTCAAATGTAGCCTTTCAGCAAATACTGTCATTTGAATATGGCAAATATAGAAACTAAAATTCACAGTTTGTTTTGTAGCTCCTTCATGTCAATAAACACCAGAGGGATAGCAATGATGCTCCTTCCAGAAACAAGACTTTATCAAGTTTTGGTGCGATGATTTTAAAGAACTATGTTCTGAAAGTTATTAAGTAATTTATTTATCTGACAATTGGCCAAGGCGAGGTGGAAGAAAAGCAGATAGCAGGAGGGTGGCTTCTACAGAGTTCAGGAGAGGGAAAAGGAAAAAAATAGAGACTGAATATCAATCTCTTCAAATACGGCTGAGTCAGTAGGATATAACCAAGTCAAGGCTAAAGACGATATTTGGTAATAGACCTGAAGTTATTGGGTTTTGTTTCTTTCTTTGTTTTGTTCTCTCTGCGGAAGAGAAATAGTCTAAGCCCCCTAAAAAATAATAGAACTTTTAAAGACGACGCAGCACTTACATAAACCAAATGAATATAAGCTTGCTTTACATTATATAAAATTTAGTCTCATATTTATTAATCAATGTGAACTACTCTAAAAAAGTTTTGGGGGGGTTCAAAGTTTCAGAATTTCCCCAAGAAAAAAATAAGCACTGAAGATCGATTGCCATACCAACACTAGAGGGCGCTCTGGCACTGCTGGGAAATAGGGGGACCCAGGGGATGAAGACGCCCGAGGAGGCCTGGGCAGCAAGGCCTGAGGGCACAAAGTGAGCGCTGCCTCACTCCCAGGGGGCACTGTTACTCCCCTCCTCAGGGACTGTGGGACGGAGCTGCTTTGTCTCCCAGGCTGCACACCCATGGTTCCCGCTTGGGTCTCCCCCACACTTTGCGCTCCAGTTAAATTCATTTCCTGATGTGCTTGGCACTTTGTACACAATCTCTAATATCGATGACAATTCTGTAGGATACAAGTTCCGTCTTATGGAAAAGCAAAAAGAGGTTCTGGAGAGTTTGGCCAGGTAGCTGGAAGGGGGTGGAGGCTAAATTCAAGGCCAAGAGCCCCCCACTTTGGGTCTGTCTTACTACTACTCCTCATCTCACCTTTTGGGCCTAACACCTCAATGTCTTCCAAGAAAGCGACCAGCAAATAGGAAAAGGTGAATGGTCTAGAGTTAGCCTGCTCTACTGGAGATAAAATAGGAGGACTGGGTTGGAACAACATTTTGCCACTTGCTGTGTAGTCTGGTCTGCGTTATTCACCGAATCTTAGGGTGATTATGTGTAAAATAGGGGTAATGATTACAATGCCTTCTTGGAGAGTTGGGAAGGCAAATAAAATCATGCATATGAAAATATACAAATGATTAAAGCACTACACAGACAGAAACTCTTGTTACGTTATCAGTGGTGTAAGAAACCTAGACCAATACATCCTGGACCATTGCTCTTGCTTCCCAGAAAGAAGGAGTGCAAGTTCACCAAAAGGTGCAAGATACAAAGAAAATGAGAATGGACAACACAGCAGAGGAGGAGAATTTGAAAGGCGTTGTTCAGATCCCACGGATAGGGGTCTAGGGCTCTCCACCAACCAGAACTTGTCAGAAGTTCACTGAACTTTCAACTGGGAAATCAAGGAGAAAAACCTCTTCCCCTAATTAAATACAGTTATCTAATAATTGTTCTTATATCCGGAGCCAATGTTGTGCAGTTAAAACCAGTCCTTGTACAGAAATCAGATATAAGAGACATAAAGTGATAATGAACATGCAGTATTTCAAACCTCAGACCCCCAGGCTCTGAACGCTTTCTCCAGTCTTAAGACATTCATGGCATATGTCCCAAAATTGTCAATTCCCTCCTCCTGGCCTGCATTCATGAGAATGTCATAGAGTGCTGCAGAATCTTCTCGTCTGTGGTACAGCTCCCAGCCCAGCTCACCTGAAATAAACCCACAGGCGCCACAGCAGAGTGAGAACAATAATGATTAGATCTAACTTGCGTTAGCTAAAACTCATAAAAGCAGGAATAAAACCACTTATGCAACATAGATTTTGTCTGTCTCGAAAAAGACCAGCTCATAAAAAGCTGCAGCAAGACCACACTGCAAAGAAGCCCGTCATGTCACAGATGCATTTGTGCCAGTCCTGACTTGCATGCTGAGGGTGAGATGTGAGATACCTCTTTTCATGACACAGAAGGACTGCAGTGCAAGATTAGCCTCCGCCCCGACCCCAGCTTTCTAAGGAGGCGTCACCATTTTGAGGGACAACAGTGTTAGGTGAATAATTAGCATGGCGTGGTTTATCAAGATAAGGGGTTCAAAGGTTTAAACACTTCAACCTCTCAACCCCAAATCACAAGGCTTAAAAATACAGCCAACTGGGAATTATTCAAATGGTCTTCACTGTGGGATATGGCCATAGTCTCTGACTCACCTTGGTCCCCACCTCCCCCTACTTAGTCATGCCATTCACCATTAGAGCTGTGGGCAAAAATCAAGAGAAATGAAACCTAACCTAAGTGGTCCTCCTTATGTTTGTTTTTGTTTTTGTTTTTGTTTTTGAGTTGGAGTCTCACTCTGTTGCCCAGACTGGAGTGCAGTGGCCGCTCCCGGCC